AGTACAACCAGCCCCGACAGCCAGCACCTGCTGAAAGTATGTATTCATTCTGTATTTGGAGTCTGAGAAGGCTTGTAACAAATGAAAAACCTAAACCAAAAAAGAGAAAAAGCAATATCCTGCTGTGAAAATATATTTTTCCTAAATGTCCAGTTCCTCCCTTTTAGGTTTCCTTAAAACATTCCCCTCAACGAAAACAGACACCTGCAAAATGTGGCTCTGGTCTCTTTGCAGAAAAATCATGTTGGTCTTGGAGGACGCAGCAGGTGGCGAAAAACCAACGTCTTTCATCTGTACCTGAACTCTGGGTTCCTCGCACAAGTCCAAAAAATGAAGATTACTCTGTGACCAGTCATTAGACGCCGAGGGCTTATTAGTTACAAACAACCTATAAATTGATTTTAGCAAAGAAATGCAAACATCTTTCTCTATCTTAGCAGTCTCATATGGGAAAAAAAAGTACTTTTTAAAGTCAAAATCTTAGTACACAGGAAAAATCAAATGTCTGTGGGTCTAACCTGGTTTGGGGTTTATCACAACATGCTTGGCTGAAGAAGCAGGCCGCAATGATGCTTGCCTTCGCAAACAGTGGACAGTGATGTCTGTAAACTATTTAGGTTTTTAGATCTTCCCTGAGATGTCAGGAGCGGAGGGAGCACTGCGGACACACCCCACTTTCTTATTCTTGCATGACATTATATATCAGAATTAAGCAGAGAAAGACAAATCCTGTTGTATCTCTCTAGCTGCCTATATTTAGAAGAAGGCCTCAATTCCAGCAAGCACGTGCCATAGGCCGTGTGTGTGTGTGTGTGTGTGTGTGTGTGTGTGCGCGTGTGTGCACTGGCACGTGCACGTAAGTGTATCTTGGGTTCACTCAGTGATGACATCAACAAGGTCTTTGTGAGAAGTACAAACCTGCAGCAGAGAACAAAAGTGGACAAGGGCGTAAATGGGATCCACTGACCTTAGCCAGTGTCAAGGGAAAAGACATGTCAGAGAAATCCTTCAGTGCCCTTATCAAGGGGAGGAGGAGGGTGGAGCAAAGCAAGCACAGATAAACACATCAAGAACTTGGAAAGTCTATTTTAATAATCAGTTTGTTTACTTTCCCTATTGTATCCTTTACCAGAGCTGCACATGATTCTTCTTAAGCAACAAGATTCAACTTTTTCTTCTCTCTTTCCTGTCAGTGAAGGACTTGAGAGTTAAATACAGAAGGAAGCAATGAGGAAAACCAAGAGGCCAAGATAAGAGATCCAGAGTCATCAGACTCTAAATGGGTATGAGCTGGCAGGTTTTCCCGGGTCAGAGACCTGCTATATGCTGAGCACCTATGGTTTAGAGAGTCAAAGGAAATTTTGATTACTTTATTTTATGTAACTGCTATTAAAATTTTTTTTTCTTCCTAAATAGAAGTAATTGTACAGGAGAAGGCACAAAAGTCCCCATGTGGAGACTGCAAATGCTTTCTCTAATAATTGATCTGTTATTTCAGAAGCAACCGATCAACCATCACTATTTCACCGCAATCCCCACAGGGACTCACACCGCCCGTCGTGAAGTCTGGAGCAATGGGTCTGGCCGGGGCTTCTGTTCTTACGTGATGACTGCCAGAGTGAAAAGACTACCTCCCTCTGCCCGAATCCCCAGCATCCTGAAAGAGCTGGCAAAGCCACTGGGCCTAGCTTTACTTCTCTCCACAGCTGCACAAAACCAACCACCGGGGCTTTTCATGGTGTCACAGGATTGTAATTAATCAGCAGACACCAGCAAAATACATGGCTTTGGAATTTACTTGTAAAGAAAGCCGTGAGATTTTCAAACGCCTCTCATTTAGAAGCAATCACTTCAAAAATAACTCCTGATGGATGTTTAAACTTAGTCCTATATTTGCTCACCTTACTTGGCAAAAACAAGGCTGTTTTTGAAACGCTTGGTAGCTCTGGTTTATGAAAATCGGCCTACAAGTCCATCAATTCTGTCACCTTGGGCACAAACCAGACAACAATTGTGATCCTGGTTATTCACCAGGAACGGAGAGCGATCTATTTACATGGAACAAATGGAGGGGGAGGTACGCTTAGAAGGACCTTGGTGGAAATAAGCACGTAGGAGAGACAGAGCAATACAAGTGAAAGACAGGGTCAGAGAAGACAAGCAAAACAGGGGGCAGGGGAGGAGAAGGAGCAGAGAAGCCAGAGGGAGGGGAGAGGAGAAAAAAGGCTTATGAGCAAATGTATGAAACAGGTTACTATGTTTTTTGTTTTTTGGTTTTTTTATAAATTTATTTTATTTATTTTATTTTTGGCTGCACTGGGTCTTCGTTGCTGCGAGTGGGCTTTCTCTAGTTGTGGCGAGCGGGGGCCACCTTTCGCCGCAGTGCACAGGCTTCTCACTGCGGTGGCTTCTCTTGTTGTAGAGCACGGTCTCTAGGCACACGGGCTCAGTAGTTGTGGCTCGTGGCCTCTAGAGCGCAGGCTCAGTAGTTGTAGCTCACGGGCCCAGTTGCTCCGCGGCATGTGGGATCCTCCCGAACCAGGGCTCAAACCCGTGTCCCCTGCATTGGCAGGCGGATTCTTAACCACTGTGCCACCAGGGAAGCCCCAGGTTACTATGTTTGAGATAACTTTTTCCTTCAAGAAAATTAATGAAAATATTTGAAAATATGATTACCCTCATATGGCATTAAGAGTGCTGGGTTTGGGACTTCCCTGGCAGTCCAGTGGATGAGACTCTGTGCTTCCACTGCAGGGGGCACAGGTTCAATCCCTGGTCGGGGAACTAAGATTCCACAAGTCCCGCGGGGTGGGGAAAAAAAAAAAAAAGAGTGCTGGGTTTAATTCTCTCAAGAAAAATGAGGCCATCCTTTGCATTCAGTCCAGAAGTGAGGCCAGGCCCCTGGAACTCTGGTCCAAGGTCAGATCCGGGAGCTCCAGGCAGCTCCCAGGAAGGATCATTTGTCCATCAGCTCTGAAAGGACAGCAGCGGTGAGGCAGCTTATCCTCCTCGCCACCTTTCCTAAAGTTCTGGTCCAGAAGAACTTCTGGGCAAAGAGCGTGGTCAAGCCCAGGCCTGGGATAATTTGGAAACAGCCTATAATACAGGACTGTACCAAACCAAACACAGAGAAACTGAAGCTGCCAGACCTGAGGATGATGACTAACTGAGAACAGGAGAACTCTGAGAAGTTTAGTGTCACTTTAGGTGTCTCAAATTTGCAACAGGGGGCTTCCCTGGTGGCGCAGTGGTTGAGAGTCCGCCTGCCGATGCAGGGGGCACGGGCTCGTGCCCCGGTCCGGGAAGATCCCACATGCCCCAGAGCGGCTGGGGCCGTGAGCCCGGGCCGATGGGCC